CAAACATGAAAATCTAACTGTGTTCTGCTAAGCCAGATATTAAAAAGATTTGAAAACCTGTAAAACAATGCCACTCTTCTCACTAAATTTTTTTGTTTAGGAAAATACAAATATTATAAAGTACTATATATAAACTATTTAAAAAATACAAATATCAAAATTAATGAAATATGTTTTTAGTGAATATTGGTAGTTGGTTTATTATTACTATTTTAAAATGAATTCATAAATATTTTTAAAGGCTCTCAGTTTTAACTTCTAATAATGATAAATATCAGTAGATATAACCCACTTAGGTTATATCTTTAGGTTCTTCAATAAGTTGTAAAGGTGTAAAGTGGTTCTGAGACCCCAAAATTTTGAGAACAACTGAACAAACCTTTTAATATTTTTTTATGATGATGGAGATGACAGAGATTATAGAATATGTAATATTCTCTTTAGAGTATATTCTATCATTAATCAATTTCATGAAAAGCCCATGAGTTTTTCACTCAGTTCAATATTACCTCTGTATTTCACGGTACAGCACCAGATAGGTCAGGGCCAACTGGACAATTTAATGCCAGGGTCACAAGGCCAACTTTGCTCCCACTGCAAATGGGCATTCATTTGGATTACTTTGGAGGAATACAACAGGTTTTGCTTTTACTTTGAGCTATAAAGAAATCTGAAAGTTTAAGTATACTTTGTTCCTGATCTTAAACGATCTTGGTATTTCTGGAGATTCTGTCTGGGAGGTCTCAGCAGTACCTGCGTCCCAATGATCTAGTATGGCAACACCATACATGTGCTATGGATTCATGATACATACTACCGCCAAAATATATGCTGAAGACTGCAACGATTTGATTGAAGTTCTGATTTCCCGGCACTGAGTGTGTCTTGTCTGAGTTGTCAAATCGAAGATGAGAAAATCAAAAAGTGCCAGTGTGCTTGGAGGCATAGTAAAAATGTGATCTCAGACCTAACTGTTGGCTTCGGTTTTTCACTCTGCCCTGTTTACAAATGGAGGTGAGCACTGTTCTCATCTTCTGGGGAGAGTGGAGTAGTCAGGAAGCAACTGTCTCCTGAGCATTTGGGTTTCTCAAGTTCATTGTATGACCAGTTGTGCACAAAATTAAGCTTTCTCTAGGCTTTTGTGTGACACTAAAGACCAGCCAAAAAATGTTGCTTTTCGTGAACTTTACAATGACAGGTTCCTACATTGCATTGGATGGAATATTTTGGAGACCACTAATTGTGCTCCAAGTTTAATTTGTTGAAATAATGCACAGAGGAAAAAAGAATGAAGCTGAAGTAGATCTATTCCTTTTAGCCATTAAATCATTGGCAATGAAAAGACTATATGAAGAGAAAAAAAAAATCCCACCTCAAAACAGTATCGCCTATTTTATTTTTTTCTTCAAAGGACAAAGAAAATTGAGAGGGGGAACTAATCACTAGGGGTTTAATTGGCTGGTAGCTGCCTCATATACCTGCTCACAGCATTAGAGCCCCATGCTAGGCACATTTCATTTAATGTCAATATATTAAAAAATGCCACTGAGTTTAAGTGCAGCACCAAATGATGCACTGTAATAAAGAAGCACAGGGGTTAAATTAAAGTGGAGAATAACTTGGCCAAAGAAACTGGAAGCAGAGTTAGCTTTTAGGGTTTGTTTTTAGACCTCTGATTTTTCTAGAGGAATTAGAATTCATTGTCACAGTTCTTTCTTATTTGACTGATAGATTTTGCTTAAAATAGACCCTCATATTCTATTCCTGAGATGAACCATAGTAGATTATTTCTTATAATTATATTTCATTAATAAAAGTGATAAAAATATGCAACATCCAATTAACAGATTAGCTTATATAATCTGGAAAGCATAATTTTTTTTTTTTTTATTATGTTATAAGGCCAGTTGGTTTCTTCGGAGGATTAGTCAACAGCATCCCACCTATCCTGTGGGATAAAAATAGCTGAATTTTTTTTATCTCTAGTAATACTAACTGAAACATATAACAATCTATCACGTTCATAACTCCTTCTCTCAAAGAGGTTGCTCTGCAATGTGTGATTGTTTTAATACTCATATTATCAAGCCATAGATTTAAAAAACATAAATACACCTGGTGGTCAAAAATATTACCGAAAGGCCATCCTTTTTGTATTTGCTGGCTTGGAATGCAATTACTCCTGTGTGTGCACAACTGTGTACAGAAGAAAAAAAACAAATGCTTACAACTGTAATATATTACCCAGTTATCACCTATGTGGCTTTCACTTGCAGGGTTCAAACAAGTTAGTGAGCCCCAATAGGCTAGTGGCATGGTGAAATCATTTCTAGGGCCAATTCTATAGCAGTATTGACTGCAAATCTATGGAAAGAGGAGGAGGAAAAGAGGACAAGGTTGCAACTTGTATTAAATGCCTATCTAAACCTTAGAAACCTACCAACTGAGTTTGCCTCAGGACACAAATTCTGCATACCAACTCTGGAAACAAAATCACTACAATGAATAGGTTTTTTTTTTTTTTTGGTACTATATTAAGAGAAAAAATTTACTTCATCACATCCACTTCAATTTTCACAAATCCTATAGGTAAGTCCCTAGTGCATGAAACACAGAAGCAATATTACCTCTAGCTGAAATCCACTTAAGACTATTCTCAAGGGAAGAGGTACATGAAAAAAAGCGTACTTCATAATAGTTAAAAAGAAAAAAGGCATAATTTGAGAATTCTGTCTGTGGAATAGGTGTAAGATGACAGTCTAATGTTATTTAAACTTAATTTAATCTCCATAAGTCATTTTATAAAATCTAAACCACAACAAATACTATTTGATCAAAGCCCAAGTATTAGTCTCTTGTGAAAATGTATAATTAGGCTTTTTAAAGGCTCAACTGAGAAAAATATCTGAGCTTGGTTTAATCTCTCAGAAAATACATAACTAGTTTTTCTTTGAAATGTGTATTGTATTAACAAACAAAAAATACTGCAACAGCAAGACCTTCATACTTCCTGTCCATTTAACTTGAGATTACACATACTCAATTTAAATGCATAGGAAGTATGAAGGTCTCGCTATTGAGAAGAAAACTAGTTTCAAACCAGATTTAATATAATCCTTTCTAATTCTAGTTTCTTTGAGCAGATTATTCTTTTACTTATTTATAGCAAAGCCCTTTTAGAATTTTAAGATATTTTCTTTACAATTATTTCCTATTGCCCAATTTAGATTACTAACCACTACCTTAAAATTTTTTTAGCATCTCCTTTCTATCAGGCTTCTCTGCAGGGCTGATTGCATGGAGGCTTCTCAAGGGTCAGAGGTGGGGGTATAGTAAGGAAGTTTGTGGAAATTGTCTAGAATAATTTTGTGTTTGTTAACATGTAAAACTCGATTTGTTTCTAGTTTTGAATACAATGGAGAAAACAAAACAAAGTTCCCACATAATACCAGGTCAGGTCCACAAGGAGTTGCAGAACCAAAAATCTCTTGCACCTTATTCTAAGGACCCAAGCCAGTTAACTGGGTCTGCAATTAGACTCTTTGGATGCAATCAATTACAAGTGCAATTTCTGTGTGTGAACTAATTTTGTGTGCAAAAGCAGTCCCACCAAAACAGAAATCTAAGTTAAAAGTTAGAATGGAATTCAGATCTGTCTTACTTTATTTACTTAGTACATGTGAAGAAAGAACTAATTTCTTCCCTGGGCTATAAAGAAGACCAAAACTAAAAGGTTCTGTGCAACTCAAGTATTTTCTTAAGTTTTCTACAAGTACTTAGATTCTAAGGACTCTAGAATCTAGGACAGTTTTATTATTTTATTACTATTTTTCTAATTTTTGCAGTGTTCCCTTCCCTCCCTCCTACCCCTAGTAACCAGCAAAGAAAGTTTTTTTTCTAATTAAAAAATAATCTTAATTATATTCATATTATACATATATATGTATTTGCTTTCCACATTACTGTTTAAATTCATTGTGTTTCTACACTATATATAAGTGTACAAACACATGTACTCATACATGAGCACAAACACATTGTAATCCAGGATTCTATCACAATAGATCACTTCAATGCACGGCTTTATTTCAAAGGCTTTAACAAAGAGATAATATATAATCTGAAGAGTTAATGGGTCTTGCTGTCTGTCAAAACTCTACCAAGTGAGCTTGAGAAATATGACCTCACCAAGGAAAATTAACACAATATGTAGGTTAAAAGGCAAACAATAAGCAAGAAAACAAACAAGCAAATCCCAAACATTTTGACAGCAGCTCATCTTTTAAAAGAACTTTCAGTGCAAATTTCTGAAATTCCCAATGTCATTCTGGCATACCTATTTTACCACTCTGCTGCAGACAACAGCTTTTAAGTTCCCCAATTCATAAATGTAATTAAATAATTACATTAGTGCTAATTAACATGAAACTGCAGATTATTTAAGCGCAAAAAACACTATTCAACTTCTTAATTATTCTTGTTCACACAGCATTTCCTTTTGCTCAGGCGCCCTAGGTGCAAATAAAGCATCCCATCTGCTCGTAATTAGAACTAAATAATTTCAGAGAATGTAGCTTATCATTTTGACTGCACATTTGATTAAAAACAGTGTACAAGCAATATCCTGGCTTATTGGTGTAACAGAAACAACACACACAAGCTTGTGTTCTTCTATCATTAAAGAAGATCGAAAACATTATCTGTTATTTCAGGGGGAAAAATACAACTTTTTAGTTCATTTCATACAGATGAAAGCGAATTACAGCAAATCACCTCTCCACTGAATAGCAGCCCCCACATAATGACTTTATTTGCTTAATCCCCAAATTAAACGCCGTTTCAAGCGAGGGCCCTGTGTTATTACTCTCATCATGTTGAGAACATTTTCCTGCCGAGACCAATTTGAATAAAACAAGGGGCCTTCCTTGAACTCAATCAAGGAGCCATAATGTGGTGGGTAATAGAGGTTGCTGATAGATTTGCAGGCAAAAGTGTTATACCTAATGATGGGATATGGATAATAGTCCTCCTGGAGGTCCTGATGCGATTCCAGTTGGCTGCCAGATGCTAAAAATCAAGAAGAGCATTGATCAGTGACAGGAAGCTGTAGTGGATTCATCTAGTCAAACTTCAGCTGTTTTTCCACTGTACAGTTAAGCCAGGCATAAATTATATTAATTGATTTAATTACATACTTAAAACATCTTCCCCAATTAATTTAATTAGGTGGCTACATGATGCTACTGGCAGGGGAAGATTAGGAGGCAGCTCACTTAATTAACAGAATATGAATGAAAAAAAGAGAAAGCAAACATAAATGAAATTGTGAGCACTAATTAAAAGGCTGTCTGCAAACTTAAATACTTTCTGACAAAGTGGTGACAGCAATGTAGACAAGAGAGGATTTTTTTTTTTTCCTAGCAAATTAAAGTGCCAGAAGGTATATATAGGGAGAAAAGGTAATGCAGTTAATACATCGATTTTCTGACAGAACTACCATAGTCAAAGTGAAGGGATTTTTTTTTTTTTTCTATAGAAAAATGGCAACAGCTTTTGCAGCTGAAAACCTCAGATTCCTGATTAGGGCTAAAATATGATGCACAAGCAAATGTATGAGTGGAGGGGAGTGAAAGGCAAGGGAGGGTGAGGAGGAGACTGGTTGGAGAGAGAAAGGGAAGATAAAGAGCCAACTTATTGCAATCGCTCAAGCAAGGAATGTTTAGAAAAAGAGGTCTGCCTTAACAGCTGCTCGCCTCATGCACCTTGGCTCTCACATGGAAATTCTGCAGGTGTCTTTGACGTGATTCCTGCAGGATCTTCCTCAGTCGAGTCTTATGGCAATGTAAAAGCCAAGCAATGGCAATCACACCTGATGCCCACTTCTGTTTTCGGTAAACAAGGAACAATTTTCTTGCTTTGTAGCACTTCCATGTGGCTTGGATCTTCAATATGGCTTCTAACTTTCCATCTTGGCCCTTGTACCTCTGACCTGGAACATTTAACATCCTTTGGATGTGAACTGGGTCTTCTATCACTGAGAGAAGGTCATAGCTGGTAAGTCTGTTTTTTAGCTCAAACTCTGGAAGGAGGGCTACCAAACTGTTCCCTTTTATTTTGACTTCTGGTATTGCATAGTCCTTGAGAAACTTCTCAACATGTTCCAAGAGAGAAAAAATACTTCCCCAAGTTAAATTAAAGTGTTGCTTGAATGCTAAGAAGTCTGGGGCTGTCTTGTCTATGGTGCCATCATAAATATAAAAGTCAAATTCCCATGGTGCTTTCGCAGCACTAGAAGGTGTTGTGATTTTCATGGTCTGTGGAAAGAAAGTGTTGCCAGAGATGAAATACAAGTTATCTCCTTTAAATGAGTGCTAAGACACAAACTATGATTTACCATTTAAGGGTGAGAAGATAGGGATTCTAGTATTAATTTAACACACACCTGTCATATTTATTATAGAAGCCTAGCCAGGATATTTCATAAAATTCATTAGCAGAAGACTATTTTAAGGATTACTTAAAGCTATTAACATTTTTATAAAGGTGCATTAATTGCTCAAGAAAACTGATCATATAAAAATTATGCATTTAGTTCACTTTGATCTGGTCAACTGGCCCCCTAGTTTCTGTGATTTACTTTTTTATACATGCACACATGGTCTTGGAGAAGCATGTTGCTGCTTTCTTATTTATAACTTATCCACAAATCCTGAAACAAGAGGAAACCTTTCTCTGCACTCTTCAGGATAACTTCAAATATGCCCATTAAAACTGTCCATCTTTTCTGATTTCCTAAAATATCATTACTTTTCTAGAGTTTTAGAGCTTTTCTGATGTTTGTTAGTATCTAGGGGTGATTTTTTACAAGAAGCATTATATCTTGTGTGTTATCACCCTTGTCATTTTCTAGAGTTCTCTTGACAAATGTTCTTTTATTCTTGAATCTAGTGTCTTTTTAGAGATTTATCTGGGACTAACCCCAGATAGACTAGAGCCTGAAATCTCTTAAAATAAAACCAAGTAAGTACTTGCTTTTCATTGTGCTCCTATCTATACTGATCAAAATTTTAAGGCATGAAAATATACTACTTTTATTTTTAAATGCTGTATTAGTCTGGGTTAGCCCCTTTCTGGGATTTTCTTGAAGGACAGTGGTGAAGGGAAATCCTCCCAATGGTCAGAACTTCAAGCTGTGCATATGGCTGTTCATCTTGCATGGAATAAGAAATGGCCAGATGTGCGATTGTATACAGATTCACGGGCTGTTGCTAATGGCTTGGCTGGATGGTCTGGGACTTGGAAGGAGCATGATTGGAAAATTGGTGACAAGAATGTATGTGGAAGAGGTATGTGGATAGATCTCTCTGAATGGGCCAAAGGAGTAAAGATAATTGTTTCATGTGAATGCCCACCAAAAGGTGACCTCGGCAGAGGAGGACTTTAATAATCAGGTGGATAGGATGACACGTTCAGTGGAAACCAGCCATCCTTTTTCCCCAGTCACTCCTATCATTGCTCAATTGGCTCATGAATAAAGTGGCCATGGTGGCAGTGATGGAGGTTATGCATGGGCTCAGCAACATGGGCTCCCACTTATCAAGGCTGATTTGGCTACCACCATTGCTGAGTGCCCAATCTGCCAGCACCAGAGACCAACACTCAGTCCGCGATATGGAACCATACCTTGGGGTGATCAGCCAGCAACGTGGTGGCAGGTTGATTACATTGGATCACTTCTATCATGGAAAGGACAGCGTTTTGTTCTTACTGGAATAGATACTTATTCTGGATATGGATCTGCCTTCCCTGCATGTGATGCTTCTGCCAAAACTACCATCCGTGGACTTAAAGACTGCCTTATCCACCGTCATGGTATACCACACAGCATTGCTTCAGATCAAGGGACTCATTTCACAGCAAATCAAGTAGGGCAATGGGCCTATGCTCATAGAATCCACTGGTCTTACCATGTTCCCCATCATCCTGAAGCAACTGGCTTGATAGAATGATGGAATGGCCTACTGAAAACACAATTATAGCACCAGCTAGGTGGCAATACCTTGAAGGGTTGGGGCAATGTTCTCCAGAAGGCTGTATATGCTCTAAACTAGCATCCAATATATGGTGCTGTTTCTCCAACAGCCAGGATTCATGGGTCCAGGAACCAAGGAGTGGTACCACTCACTATTACCCCTAGTGACCCACCCAAAAATTTTTTGCTTGCTGTCCCTGCTACCCTATGCTCGGCAGGTCTGGAGATCTTAGTTCCAAAGGGAGGAACACTCCCACCTGGAGACACAATACTGATTGCATTGAACTGGAAATTAAGAATGCCAGGTGGGAGAGTTCCGGCAAGATGGCGGACTAGGCAGAAGGACTGCACAGACCCTCTTCAACAAAGAAAAGGGAAAACAATTAACACAGACACAGAAGATAATCATGGACCCCTGAGCGTTGAAGGGAAGGATACAGAATTGGACTAAACCCCAATTAGCAGAAGAATTTGCGTGAAAATACCAAAAAAAGGAGACATACGGAGCTGCGGTCTGACAGCAAACGGAGTGACCCTGACAGTACAGGCGGCTCGGAGATCCCTGACCGGTGGTAGGACCTAAGAATTAACCTAAAAATCACCCAGCTAGCCAGGGACTGCACGGACTGTGCACCGTGGCTGGGGAACAAGCAGAGAAGGTGAAGAGAAGGGTGGGCTGAGCTGTGGACTTTTGTTGGTCCGGAGGGCGCCGCCATTTTGTAGGTTTAAAAAGTGGCTTGACTATTTTTAAAGAGACAGCACTCTCACAGATTCCTGTGGTGGTAGGACCTAAGAATTAACCTAAAAATCACCCGGCTAGCCAGGGACTGCACGGGCTGTGCAAGGTGGCTGGGGAATAAACGGAG